GACACATGTGGTCCATGGATATATGCACTCCTGTGACACACAGTCCACAGAGACACAGATCCCTGACGTGCACAGACACAGATCCCCTGATACACACTCACACACACACATACATCCACACAGACACATGTGGTCCATGGATATATGCACTCCTGTGACACACAGTCCACAGAGACACAGATCCCTGACGTGCACAGACACAGATCCCCTGATACACACTCACACACACACATACATCCACACAGACACATGTGGTCCATGGATATATGCACTCCTGTGACACACAGTCCACAGAGACACAGATCCCTGACGTGCACAGACACAGATCCCCTGATACACACTCACACACACACATACATCCACACAGACACATGTGGTCCATGGATATATGCACTCCTGTGACACACAGTCCACAGAGACACAGATCCCTGACGTGCACAGACACAGATCCCCTGATACACACTCACACACACACATACATCCACACAGACACATGTGGTCCATGGATATATGCACTCCTGTGACACACAGTCCACAGAGACACAGATCCCTGACGTGCACAGACACAGATCCCCTGATACACACTCACACACACACATACATCCACACAGACACATGTGGTCCATGGATATATGCACTCCTGTGACACACAGTCCACAGAGACACAGATCCCTGACGTGCACAGACACAGATCCCCTGATACACACTCACACACACACATACATCCACACAGACACATGTGGTCCATGGATATATGCACTCCTGTGACACACAGTCCACAGAGACACAGATCCCTGACGTGCACAGACACAGATCCCCTGATACACACTCACACACACACATACATCCACACAGACACATGTGGTCCATGGATATATGCACTCCTGTGACACACAGTCCACAGAGACACAGATCCCTGACGTGCACAGACACAGATCCCCTGATACACACTCACACACACACATACATCCACACAGACACATGTGGTCCATGGATATATGCACTCCTGTGACACACAGTCCACAGAGACACAGATCCCTGACGTGCACAGACACAGATCCCCTGATACACACTCACACACACACATACATCCACACAGACACATGTGGTCCATGGATATATGCACTCCTGTGACACACAGTCCACAGAGACACAGATCCCTGACGTGCACAGACACAGATCCCCTGATACACACTCACACACACACATACATCCACACAGACACATGTGGTCCATGGATATATGCACTCCTGTGACACACAGTCCACAGAGACACAGATCCCTGACGTGCACAGACACAGATCCCCTGATACACACTCACACACACACATACATCCACACAGACACATGTGGTCCATGGATATATGCACTCCTGTGACACACAGTCCACAGAGACACAGACTCCTGTCATACGCAGACACAGACCTCTGACACACACATAAATGAACAATCACATAAAGACACAGACACAAAGAAACAGGGTCACCCAAACTCCCACAATGACATGTCTGCTGTCAGGCAGGAACACAGGCACAGTACAGAGTCACACAGAGGCAGGAGGGAAGCCTAGATCTATAACTGTGCAGTGACATTCTTAGTTCATCTGCAGCTACACAGTCGCACATCCACACGTCTACACCCACTCTGATGCTACAGTCACTACATTCCATGCACTCCCACACTCCCACCCAGGAACCCTGGCACACCTACACGCTCACAACCACACAATTACACCCTGTCTACCCAGGGCAGTCCCCCCACCCCACACACACATCTTCACACCAGGGACAAGGCCAGTGCCAGGTCACCCCCAATCCCAGGAACTCCAGATCCTGGAGTTGCTCATACAGTCAATCCCACCCTTACTCCCTTTGCCTCCCCCCTCCTTCCCTCCCAGAGCTAGTCCAAGAGTTGAACAAAAGCCCAGCGTCCCCCTCCCCCTCTCATCTCTCCTTCCCTCCCCTCCTCCCTGACGTCCAGCCCCTTTGTCCTGCCACAGCTGAGCCCGAGCAGGAGTCTGGGCAGAGTGGCAGGAATACTGAAGCCCAGGCTGCCAGGGGTGCAGGCGGCAGGCACAGCCGGGAGTGGTTCCTGCAAGAGCGGCAGCTGCAGAACACCTGGGAGAGGGCGTGACCAGATAAGCACCAGGTATGAGGGGGGAGGGCTTAAGACGTAGAGCTGCCTGGCTGTGTGCTGTCAAGCCTGAGCATGTGTTTCTGTGAGCTGGTGTGAGTGTGAAAAAGACAGAGATGGTGGCATGTTCAGGTCAACTTCTACAGGCTGGGTCCCTCAGTCTGCGCTATGACCCATGGCTTGAAGCGCTTAGACTCAGCTGAGATGGGAGAATGCCAGTGGAGCCCTACCTGGGAATCCCTACCTTCCATGTTTTAACTGGGTGTCCTTCAGCCCCCAGAATGGGAATTCCCAAGTGGAAACTGGGTCTGAAGTCTGTGTGTGTCCACAGTGCCCACCAGCATCCAGGATGGTAGACAGCAGTGGAAGGAGTGAAAAAGTAGTGGTGCACTTCCCAGGAGGGACTCCCTCCCCCACCCCCCAGATGCCCGGTAGACAGCAGTGGAAGGAGTGAAAAAGTAGTGGTGCACTTCCCAGGAGGGACTCCCTCCCTCCCCCCAGATGCCTCCTGTGCTATGGGACATCTTTGCAGGGAAAAGTCCTTCTTTATGCTGATGAGACCTGCCCTCTTGAGTCTCAGCTCACTGTGGCTGCTTGCTGGGCCAGCGGAAGATAGACTGGGGACAGTATGCTCTGATGACCTGCCTCACCTCCTCCTGCTGATCCTGGGCTGCGCCCCGGGACAAGTCCCCACCTTGGCAAGTGTAGCAGAGTGGCTAAGCATGCAGAGCCTGGAGCCAGGTGGGCTCAGGGCCAGCTCCTCTACGTGGGAAGAAGTAGTTAGCTTCCTTGCCCACCAGCGAGCTCATTTCTTGTGATGCTGGGGCAGGGGATCCACCACCCAGGATGATCCGCCACAAGCGGTGAAAGCCAGGATGACACTGGGCAGGATCCTCCAGAGGCGTGCAGCAGCTGGGATCAGGAGAATGGGGCGAGAGGCAAGGGGTAGAGGGAAGAACTGAGCTCCTCGAGAGTAAGCTGCCACACAAAGAGTGAGCTCCCTATCCCTGGAGGTGTGTACAAGCGGAGGCTGTATTTAACGGGCAAATCACAACCAGTGTGGGAGAGCCCTTCAGTAGAGCGCTTTCACAAACACGCCTCCTTTGATCCTTGCAGCAAACCTCTGAAGGGCAGGTTCGGGGTCTAAAGAAAGTTCTTAGGGTTGTGAAGTCTAAATTATGTACACGAAAACAATTAGCACACCACGTGCTTCCTTCCTCTGGAGTAAAAACAGTGTAAGAAACTTTTACTGGGTTTGTAATATGTACATACTATGTACACTTTGTACAGTGTCCTATGTGTGCTTTCCATGCATTCCCTTTAATAGTCACAAAGTCACAACAACCCTGTGGGGTAGGCATTATGATCCCATTTCAGACGAGATCATCAAAGCGGGGTGGGTGGCTGGGGTGGGGGTAGAGGAGATGAGAGGAGTGACTTTTCCAGATCACTCAGTGAGTCAATGGTAGAGGCAGGATTAGAACCCCAACTGGTTCTCAGAGTTCTCTCCACGCTCTAGCATCCCCCCACCCCTGTGCCTCTTTGAGAACACCAAGAGAACTCACTAGAGAGAGGGCCAACTTCCGTCTCAGCCTGGGCTCTAACCTCAACGCTCCCTTTCCTCTGGGCCTGTGCACAGGCTGTTCTCTCTGCAGAGACATCCTCCCGCCACACCCTTCCCTTCCCTTGGCTAATTCTAACCATCCTTTTCAGTTTGAAGGTCCCCTCAGGGATGCCTTCCCCGACTCCCCTCCACCTGGCTTTAGCGACTCTTCTATGAGCTGCCCTAATACTCTGTACTTCCCCATGGGACCCCCCCCCCCCCCCCCCCCCCCCCCCCCCCCCCGCCGCGGGGGGAGGC